GGTGGGCAAACTTTTTGACTCAAGGGCCACAATGGGTTCTTAAACTGGGCTCAGAAGAAGGAGCTGCAGCGTGTTTCCCAATGTTGCCATGTTAACACTGCTGCTGGTGAAGGAGCGGAGGGGAGAGCAAGAGAACCCTCTGCTCTTTCAGCTCCGCGGGCCCGATGGAACAGCCGAACGGGCCAGATCCAGCCCGTGGGCCGTAGTTTGCCCACGGCTGGTTTAAACCCTACTTTGGAGAGCACTTGACATTTTAATTGGTTATTTTAGAAATAGTGATAGCAAGATTAAACACTAATGACCAAATTTCCCATATAGATGGGACATATGGTTGAGTGACCTCTCGTACTAAAACACCGTCTCAAGTAAGATTCCTACCTGTCTTAGAGTATGGCCTAAAAAAGTGTCACAGAAATTTTAAAAAGAAAAATTTTAAAAGCTTAGGTCATGAACCTTTAATTACACTGATGTTTCCTACGGGATCACAGGACAGAAAACAGCAGAGCTACCCATGCACTGGAATAAAAAATGGGGCCTAAAGTGGATGGACCCAAACCTAGCGGGCTTGCTCTCCTCACACATCACACACACAGAGCTGGGAAACAATAAAGAGTTCAGCAGCTGTCCTCAACTTCCAATTTAAAAATAATAGTGTTAATAATAATAATAATAATAATAATAATAGTTCACCAAGACTATAGAAAGGTCAGTTTGGCAGGTCAGGGCACATGCCTAGGTCGCAGGCGCGATCCCCAGTGCAGGAGGTACAAGAAGCAGCCAATCAATGATTCTCTCTCATCACTGATGTTTCTATCTCTCTCCCTCTACTTTCATCTCTCACACATATACATATATATATATTTTTTTAAATGTAAGTCCAAACACTTGCTAAGTGCTAGCCACTATACTAGTTAACTCATTCATACGCACATGTATACGTACTAGTTAACTGATTTTTATTTATTTATTTATTTTTTTTATTGCTTAAAGTATTACAAAGGGTATTACATATGTGTCCATTTTCCCTCCGCCCTTGACAGTCCCCTAGCCTCCCCTACCCCCCAGTGTCTTATGTCCATTGGTTATGCTTATATGCATGCATACAAGTCCTTTGG